ATTTCATCAGAAAATCTAAAGTTTTATCTTCATGGCTCTGAAACTCTGTGTTCTGGTTTCATCTGGACCGGACTCACAGTTCAGGTAGTTCGGGTTGGCCAAACACTGGACGAACTCCAGCTCGGACTGGAACCGGCTCCGGGCCTGCTCCTCTGGACCACAGAACACACACGGTTCCATCAGAACCAACAAATAAACAAAAGTCAAGGTTCCGGAACTGWTCTCGTTTCGTCTTCACCAGACTCCATGTTAAAAAGTGACATTTTAAAGCAGAGTTGTTTCTATTTGAACTTAAATACTCATAAAAGCAACTAAAACCACTTCATTACGAAACAAAACAAGTTTAACCATCAAACGGGGTGGTCTTTGAATTAAAAATAAACTTTAGTGCTAAAATATTTATCCAAACATCAGTTTCCTTGTTMCAGTTTAGCACAGAAGCTAACAACATTTAGCTACAAACCTGTTTCCATGACAGCAGAGAGTTGTTTCAAGGATTATAGTGATGAATTTACTTCATTAACATTAAAGCCACAAAATAACAAAAACAAATCTTCACAGATTTGATCTTTGTTGAAGCTCAACCACCGCCATTAAACGTCCGTGGACAGCTGAAGGAAAAACTGTTCCCTTTGCGACACTGTCTACACTTTACGGCTTCTGCGTTTCTCATGCTGACCGCCAGAGGGCGACATTCACCAGCGACAGAATTCTTAAATGGGTTTAAAGTGATGGATAAATAAAACATAGTTTATTTAAAATATATATTTCAATCTTTCATGTTTGTATAATATTTTTACATTTTAAATCTGATTTTATTTTATTTTCATTTGTATTTGATAACAATAAAACTGAATAAGACACTGTTTTGTACCAGAAAAAAAAACAAGTTAAATTTTAGCTGGAGTGATGCAGCTGATGATCAGACTGTCAGAGTTAAATGAACTCCAGGTGAGTTGAGATTTGTTGAACCAGAACATTTGAGCCGATCTGTGTGATGAAGAGGAGCTGATGAAGCTGGTTGTATCTATGAACAAACACAAAAATTACTACAAACTGAACTAATTCATGAATCGTTTACTGAAATTACATTTCCAACAGTCTAAATAACAGTTTCTCAGCTTGAAACATTCAAGGCTGCTGAAATTGATTTAATAAATGTATTTTTTTTGTAAAACACATGACTACTATTCAAATAATTTTTATTTACAGATAAAGTTTTTCAACAGTAAATTAATATTTGGTACAACACATTGGAAGCTACATACAAATG